AAAGAAAAAAATCCTCTACCACTAAGAAGAAAAAGCAAGTGGTGTTTGACCAGGCAATCTGAAAGCAGGCCCAGGCATCACAGGAGCTGAGGTCAGGACTAGAGTGCCCCAGCTCCCTGTGAGGCAGGCCTCCTTCGAATGAGTGGATTGGGCTACAAGGTCTTCAGGGGCCTCCCAGCTTCCATGTCCCATTAGTCCTTGATGGTCACTTGAAGTGGAGCTGTAGGACTCCTGCATCATCTTAGAGTCAGGCCTCTGGCACATGTTTACTGAGCAGACGCTGGGGTGTGCAGTCTGGGCTCTGGGCAGGGAGCTACGGCTGAGAATCCTTGCCCTTGGGTATTGCAATAGTCAGAGCAAACCCAGCCACATCCAGATAAGCACTGTGATTACGAGGGTGCCTTGAGGGAGAGGAGTGGACTGAGGGTTATCTGGAGGTTATACTGGACAAGGCTTCTCTTCTGGAAAAGGAGAACTCTGAGCTATGGTTTGGAATGTGGGATGGGGTGGGGTGACTTAGGAGTCCTGCAAGACAACCTGGGCCCAGGCCTCTGAGGAAGGAAGTGGGTCAGGCAGCCAGAGGCAGGGAGGAGTTGGGGTGGAATGGGATCGGGTTAGCACAGTGCCACGGGGGCGTCACGCAGGAGCTGCTGCAGCAAGAAGAAGGCTGGGGTGGAAAGCGGTGGGCAGAGCAGCAGCCCAGCTTGGGGTCCACGTGGGGGAGGGGCCTGACTACAGGTGGCCTAGGGAGCCACCTCTCCAAAGTATCTCACATCACTTGTCAGTAATGCCTGAGTGCTTCCCCTTCTTTTCTTTTTTTAATCACAAAACTACGCCATAGAAAGTGATTGAATTTATAAAAGAAACTTCTAGAAAAGACTAAGTCACAATGTCTAATTTTTTTGTTTTGAATGTATTAAGGAACAATGTGAGTTTCTTTTTTCTTTCTATTTTCTTTTTCATTTTTCTTTCTTTTTTGGGGGGGAGGGGAAGGAGAAGGCACAGTTTACCAAAAAAAGGGAGATGAACAAATTGAGTGAATTCTTTTTCTCCCCGTCCCATTGAGCCTATGGCCTAATAATGGAGACTCTGACCCCTGCATCTGAGCCATTTCAAAGCAAGGCCTGGGTATGGAGGGTTCCAAGGGAGTTTTAGTTTGTTTACTAAGAGGACAGTTTTTGCTGAAACCACTCCATCCCTTGGGTCACATACATTCCATCACACTCTTATTTTTTTTTTTTTTTTTTTTAGAGACAGTCTCACTTTGTCACCCTCAGTAGAATGCCTTGGCAATCTTCCATTCTTGGGCTTAGGCAATTCTCTTGCCTCAGCCTCCCGAGTAACTGGGACTCCAGTTGCCACAATGCCCAGCTATCTTTTTGTTGCAGTTTGGCCTGGGGCCGGGTTTGAACTTTCCACCCTCGGTATAGGGGGCTGGTGCCCTACCCCCTGAGCCACAGGTGCCGCCCTCCATCACACTCTTAATAAGAAAGGGGTGCAGGAGCCTGCCCCGCCCCTGACAGCTCACTGTCAGCAGGAGGCTGCCCAAATATCCGTGTGTACTGATTGTGCTCTTGCATAAATTGATTCTGTGATTTGAAGGTATCAGAGCTGGAATTCTTATGAAATTATACATAAATGAAACACTTTAAAATGGCTTTCTTATCCCCAAACCAAACACATACATGCAGTCAACTCTCCAGGCCACAGGACTAGAACTGTGGCAATTTCTTCCCCCCGAGGCAGCTCTGTACATGTCCCCCTTCTGTTGCTTCATTTGAGTCTCATGGTGATGTGGATTTTACCGTCCCCTTAAAAGTAGAGAAACGGGTCCAGGACAAGTTGGCCGTGGGTATGAACCAAACCAGTGGGAGTGCTGTGTCAGAATCCTAGCCTTTGACGCCTCCGCTCCTGATCGCCAGTACCTTTGCCAAAGCAGGTGTAGAAGAGAAAAAGGGTGATTGAGTTTAGGTCGGTCGGTACAGGCATGATTATTTCCTAGACTCTGGATTCCGGCCCTGTCCCTGATGAGCTGCTTTGGGCAAAGAATTTAATTTCTCTAAGCCTTAATTTGTATGTCTGTACAATGGAGGTAATAATGCCTCTCAGAGGCGTTTTGGGCATTAAATAAGAATGTGCATCTGGCAAAGACTAAAATTAATTCTTGAAATTCTGTTTGAATCATCTTTGTGTTCATCACTGTGCTAATGGGGAATATGGATAAATATCAAGAAACTAACTCTCCTCCCGGCCTGTTCCCAAAAATTGACTGTGTGGATAGGATAAAATATGGTAGATGAGGGCGGTGCCTGTGGCTCAGTGAGTAGGACGCCGGCCCCATCTACTGAGGGCGGCGGGTTCAAACCCGGTCCCAATCGAAGTGCAACCAAAAAGTAAATAGCTGGGTGCCTATAGTCCCAGCTACTCAGGAGGCTGAAGCAAGAGAATTGCTGTGAGCTGTGTACTCCACAGCACTCTATCAAGGGCGATAAAGTGAGATTCTTCCTCTACAAAAAAAATTAAAAAAAAAAAAAAGGTAGACAATTATGGTGCCAGATGCTACAGCTGCAGTTCTGTTAACCCAGCTTACATGCTTTAGGTAGTAAATAGACTTGAAAAAAGAAGGAAAAATCAAGGCACTAGAAGTCTGAGCATAGAATATCTGCAGTTTCTTGTTTTCATTCACAGACCTTCTGAATCCAGTTTGCTCCCATTATTTGTGTACCTTCTCTTAGTTTTATCCGAATGCAAATCTGCTTCCTTTCTAAAGCTAGAACATTGATAAAGCAGAGATATGCCTGTGCATGTGGGCATGGGTTTGGCATGGTGGGAGGAAGGGCTGGAGTATCACAAAATGTTTAGAACCATTATGATGTGTCTGCCCTTCTGCTTATTAAGTTTCAGGCATATGGAATATAAGACAAGGTGTGTCTGTATGTGAGGCCTGTGCTGATCTTACTCATTTCCTGTGTTTAAGGAGTTGGAATATCAGAAGTCTCAGCCCCCACAGCCCGGAGACAAGTTTGTGTCTGTTGTCAGCCAGTTCATCACAGTAGCCAGCTTCAGTTTCTCTGATGTTGAAGACCTTCTAGCAGAAGCCAAAGACCTGGTACGTTCCCCTCTTTGTGCTGAGTGTTGTTTGACCAGGCTGAGCTTTAATTGGGTCCTTTCAGGTATTAGTTATACTGTACAGGAAGCAGTGGGGACTAGAACCAGACATCACAGCACAGGAAGGAAATTGTTTCTCAATTCCATTGTTTTGTATGTCATAGGTATATTTTCATTTCCAAAACTTGTGATTAGTGAAAATACTCTTTGTCTAACTGGCCAGTGTTGTCTTTAGGTTAGCAAGACCTTGAAGGCTATGAATAGTATAAAGCCAGAATATACTTGAGGACGAAAGTACTTATCTCTGAGACCCAGAAAAGAGTAGCTGATGAAAAGTAGGGCAGGCCTGGCGCAGTGGCTCACGCCTATAATCCCAGCACTCTGGAGGCCGAGGCAGGTGGATTACCTGAGCTCACAGGTTTGAGACCAGCCTGAGACCAGCCTTAGCTCATCTCTAAAAAGTAGCTGGGCATTGTGTTAGGCACCTGTAGTCCCAGCTACTCCAGAGGTTAAAGCAAGAGAATCACTTGAGCCCAACACTTTGAGGTTGCTGTGAGCTATGATGCCACAGCATTCTACTGAGGACAACAAAGTGAGACTCTGTCTCAAAAAAAAGAAAAATAGGGCAGGATGAAATGTCCCTTAGGAGGACAGGATGCTGCCTACTAAAGTCTCCAGCAGACCTGGTTAAAGGAGCTGCCCTGTAATTGACAGCTTCATTGCAAGAAGTAAATTTATTTTTTGTAAGATGTTTCATTTTATGATTTTTGCTATTTTCAAAATTTTGTTTTCTCATAGAGAACACTTTTGTTGACTAATAACCAAGACCCTTACTTCCTGCCCCACCCAGCTTCTCTTTATGTCCTGGTGTTTCCTTTTGCAGACACACACGTGTGTTTGTACGATGCACACACACATCCTGTCATTTTCTCCCCCCTCCTCGTCGTCTGGAACCCGTGTCCAGCCCCTACCCCACCCCATTATTTCCCCCATACTGCCCCTCTCTTACAGTCAGAACATGCTTGTTTTTACTTGAATTTTGAGTAAGTGGTTATCATTTTTCTGTGGTCACCTTACAATTACAGGTGTGTACACACACACCAGTTAAGTAGAAGTAGACGGTCTTAGACTTCCTCTCCCACCTTGTCAAATAAAGGAGAAGGCAATGTCTGTAAGAATGACTGCTGTTCAGGGTCCAAACTATGACATCCCATCGTGGAAACAGGTCAACTGCTGTCAGAAACCACGGTTCTGACACTGTGAAAGCCCCACCCAGGTTTCATGTGGGCCTCGCCACTTTGGAGTCTGTGCTTTGGGAAGGATGAGGTTCCCCTGTGTGGATACCTTAACTGAGCAGTACAGCACCTGCTTTATAAGGGACCCAAGACTCAGCTGGATAGTTGATTTTTAATTTTAAACACAGACACACAAAATCAAAAGTTACTTTTTTTTTTTTTTTTTAGTGTGGGAACTTTAATCTGGGCCCAGTTTTCTTTTGATTTCTAAGACTCAAATATACATGACATCATCACTAAATTCCTAGATAAAAAGATCATTCCGGATGGCTTGAAGGATATAAACTTGAATGTTTTATAAACTCAGTTGTAGAATGTCTGTTGCTATTTTGTTCATACCAAGACTCTTTAGAAATTAGTTCACAAAACCTTGGAGCAAGCGAGAGCACTGTCTGTGGCGTGTGAAGAATGTTACGCTTTTCCCCAAAGAGCTCTGTTTTCTGATAGAATATTTCCAAATAAGTAAAACCTTGAGAACAACTCAGTGAAAAAAAAAAGAGAGAGGGAACATTTTTATGATAAATTTAAAGATATGAAACAACAATTAGAAACTGTCACATATATATTTATCAGTCAAATTGTTTTATTTAAAGTATTTTATTTAAGGTAGATAATGTTACTGAAATATTAGAAGAACTTAATATAACCAAGACAAGTGAAGCAAGAAAGGTAAAATCAATTAGGAACTATTGGTTTGGGGCAAGCACATCAGTACGTCATGGTCTAAACATGAAGAAAATTTAAAATCTGGAACATTTCAAGTTGTTGATTAAGCATAACAATTGTGTAGTTATGATCCTGCTAAGACTGTTGAAAGCATGCTATCTCAAATCATGAAGATAACTCCTAGAAGAACTAAAAACAGAAACAGTTAAAACTAAAAAGAGACTAGATATACTTTTGCTATTGTATACATGTATTTTTATTTAATTTTTAAAAACTCTCCCTTAATATTTTGCATTTTGGCTGTTTAAAAAGATTGGCATTGAAAAAAATGTTCTAAAACAAAAGATTTGGAATAAAATTGTATTCTTAATCGCAAGTTTTGGGTTGCATTAAAGATTTTCTCATTAGTCACTGTTTTCTGATTGAGGCCCAGGAACTGTTCAGACAAATAACCAGCTTTGCTTATGGTTAGGAAAAGTGGTTGAGAAGCACTGGCTCACATTTGCTTTCGATATGGCACCATATGCCAACCATATGGCACCAATAACTGATACTGAACTACTTCAAAGAGAAGTTAAAAGTGCAAGTCACCCCACCCCTGCTGAGTTTGCTGTTAGTGTTATGTTCGGGGTGCTCTGCCCTGCAATATTTTGCTTTCTTGTTTTTACTACTGTGTAGTTAATAAAAAGCCATAGGAAGTCATTATAAATGTTAAGCTTAAATGAGGTAGAAAGGAATAAATGGTTTCAAAAGTTGAAGAGTATTATAATTTTTACTTTAGAAATGATTAGTAGACGTGTTCTACAGCTAAAGAGAGAGGCTCACCGAATCCATCAAGTTCTATTCACTCAGCTGGGGGCTGCGATGGGCACTTGTAGTCCCCGCTACTTGAGAGGCTAAGAGGCCGGGGGATCGCTGAGCCCAGGTTTCAAGGCCATGGTGCCCATGCTTGTACCTGTGCACAGCCGCTGCACTCCAGCCTGGGAACTGCTGGGAAACCCATCTCTTAAAAAAGTAAATAAATACAAATTGTCTCAATTTGAGCTTTAGTTCTTCTAAAGAGGATAATATTTGATTATAAAAATCTCTTGGAATGCTGAACTTAAAATTCTCTTTTTTCCAGTTCACTAAAGCAGTGAAGCATTTTGGGGAAGAGGCTGGCAAAATACAGCCAGATGAGTTCTTTGGCATTTTTGATCAGTTTCTTCAAGCTGTGTCAGAAGCCAAACAAGAGAATGAAAACATGAGAAGGAGAAAGGAAGAGGAAGAGCGTCGAGCGCGCATGGAAGCTCAGGTAAGAGGCTGGCACAGCGGCCAGTTCCTCCTCCTAAAAGTTCTGTGGCTGCCGCCTGGCCAGGAGCTCTTCAGAAGGCTGCTGGGAATTTACATCGGTCTCAAGTCTTTCTTGGCCAATCTGATAGAACATATCCAAAGCCTTAAAAATATCTCTACATCCTTTCACCTGAAATTCCATTTCTTAGGAAATTATTTTAAAGAAAGCATCACAAATTTGCACAAAGAGGGCAGCATTCTTTATGATAGCCCCAAGCTGGAAACAACCTAAATGTTTACCAATCGGACATTAGTTCTAAATTGTGTAACAGCTGTATAATGGGCATTTAAGCAGTTCTTAAAAGACATGCCTTCAAAGAGTATTTAATGATGTAGGGAAGCCTACAAAATGATTTCTACATGAAATCATAAAATTTTATTTTTTTAAATAAGTGTTAATAAATATAGAATAATAATGGTAGGATAAAGTCCCAAAATTTCACAATAGTTGTCTCTTGGTCATAGAATTAAAGACACTTTCTTTCCCCTTTTCATTTATCTGAATTATCCAAATTTTCTCTAACATGTGTGGTATTATAGGCTTTGAATAATGGTAGTTCTTGAGCAACAAGTTTTAGGCATCCACAGTAGATACAGGCTAAGCCTTGAATGTAAGCAAAGAGGCACAATGACCATTTGCTTTAGTTTCGCTACACGTGGGTCACTACAAAAGTTTTGAGACAGACTTTGTTATGGTCAATATTTCACTTGCAAGAAACTCAGTTGACAGCGTCCTTTCTGATTCACCCGTGCAAGTCGGAACTTGCTCAGCGTATGGGTGTTATTGGGAGGGCTTCATTTGTTTCTGTCCACACGGATTTTATGTTTCTTGATTTTTGTGTATCTCAAAACTTTTGTACTTCCCCATACCATAAGGAAACAAATATTTGAGGTCTATATAATAGTGATAACTTTTCCATTATAATGACAGACATTGCCTCAATGGCTCTCATTTTCACTAGAGTATCAGGAGGTTCACTTCAAATCTGAATGATGAGGGCTAGCCACACTGCAGTGGTAATTTTTCATTGCTGTCCAGTGCTTCGCTGTTGGGGATGCATGTCCCAGTCACCCCTTTGTTGAGACTCTGAGGGGGTGGGCAAGTGCAGCCCAAAGCGTCGTCTCCCCTGAAAACAAGACGCAGATGGCGACACTTCTCTGACAGGTTTCTTTGTATTTGCAGCTCAAAGAACAACGCGAACGGGAACGTAAACTGAGAAAAGCAAAAGAGAACAGTGAAGAAGGCGGAGAGTTCGACGACCTCGTCTCAGCTCTACGCTCAGGGGAAGTGTTTGACAAAGACCTTTCTAAATTGAAACGGAATCGCAAACGTATTACCAACCAGATGACGGACAGCAGCCGAGAGAGGCCAGTCACGAAACTTAACTTCTGATTGTCCACAGATGCTTTTTTAGAAAGCGCATTAGCAGCCCTTTGAAGTGACTAGAACTTTTCAATACACTGCCTTGCGATCCAAACAGTGGCAACCTCTTCCTCCACCTGTGAGCAGGTGTGTGACCGTGTGTATGTAAATGTGCGCGTGTGTGTGTATATTAAAACCTGTATATAAAGTCTGAGTGCTGTCTGGAGACCTACATGTATAGTTAAAAGTGTCGTTGCTGTGTGAGCTCAGAACCCTTCGTGTGTGCGTTCACACTGAGTGTGGCTCACGTTCTCTCCCTGAACACCGTGACTGCTCGGAAGCACAACACTCTCTCCTGAGGAGACGACAGAGACATTCCCTAGAGTAAAAAACAAGAAAAGGAAAAAAAAAAAGAGGCTTGTAGGATATTTTGTGGTTTCCAAACTTGGTATATTTTCATCAGTGGAACTGAAGTTGGAAAAAATAATAGATTTAAAGCAGTTTTTATAGCTGACAATGTGTCACTGGTGCAGGGCATCCGTCATGGACAGGACCACGTAGAGTCTCTGACGCTGGTGTGGGGACACAGTCGGTTAGTGTTTATTAAGAACATCTTGCACACAATGTGAATTATTCAGAATGTCCATCAGAATTTTCCTGTGTATTTAAAACTTGGACATTAATTTTTGTCCCCCCTAATTTCATCAAGTTCTCTGCCAAGTGCTCTTGATGACTTCTTTAAATTGCTTTTGGAAAGAACACTATTTATGTACATGCAATTCACACTCTTGTTAAAGAACATGATTACCAGAATGTGCTTCTTGTTCTAACAGTATAGATATATAAACCTTAAAAATAGAATAACCCACCCAAGACTTCAACGTAGAATTCTCTGAAGGGATAAAGATCCTTAAAAAAAATTATTTTTAATGGGGTGCCTTTTTTTTTTTTTGCTGTTGTATTTTCTATTTTCTGTTTTGTAGTAAACGCTGCATCTTCTGTAAATATAGGTCTGAACCTAACGACACTTAAGAGAATGCACAAAATGCCAACAGCATCAGCAGATATGCCCAGATCTGTTTATCTCTAAGTGTATTTGAAGTGGTTTGCTGTTTATGTATTGTCATTTTAAATTGTATGTCAGTAAAGCTACCTGTAAAATTTCAGTCCAAAAAATAAAGCTCTCAGGGAGAAATGAATAAACACAATGAACATTAGAAAATAAAATATAGATGCTTCCCATTAACCTACCAGCGCTTAATATCCTTAAATTATATGCTATATAAAGAGGACTGTTACTTTTTTTGTTTTTCTTTGCTTTATTTATTTGTAGTTGGGGGAAGTCTAATGTTTCCTCTTTCCTTTCCATCAATCCTGTTGTGGTTGGGTTTCCTGTGGAGAGAGTAGTTTGTCCTGTTGCACTAGATAATTTACTCACTAAATTGAGTTTTTCAATTAACAAATATTTATTAAGTACCTACTGTGTACCAGGCATAGTAGGACTACAGTAAGCAAGACAGAGTCCCTCCCCCCAAAAGAGCTTATGCCGCCATGGGGATATTAGGGATGAATAGAATACCAATGTGCGTGTTGTACAGGAATCATGCTATTTAAAAATAATTTGTATAAACTATAATGCTTAGCGTAGATGGCGAGGTGTCTGAGCTAAGTGAAAGCTGTGAAATAGTGCTCTAAGAGTTGTCAAGAGCTGTGGTTTTACTTTTTTTTCCTCATTGCAAACTTAGCGACTTTCGACACATTACGTGGAAGTAAATGACTCCTAGTGAATAAAACTGTCAGAAATACAAAGCAGAGGTTGCCCCCCCCCCCAACTCCTAGTTAACCAGCGTCTGCACGTCCGTCACAGCGCAGGGGCAGATGGAGACTGAGGGGTGAGAGTAGGACAGATGATGGTTTTGTCTATTCCTTAACTAAAGTGCCTCTATGTATATTATTTTCTACTTATAGCAGGAAAAATTTGGTCTGGCTCAATTTTGAAACTATTTTAAAAATGGCTTTGTCTTAAAAATGTCTGAGGAACAGACATGTGGAAAGAGAGTCACGTGAAGGCGCAAGTTTGTGTGGCGTGTTCCTCTGGCCCTTTTTAATCATCCTGTTCTCGAGGTGGCCGTCCCCGTAGGCTCCTCTGTCATTCCCATTCTGGGTTCCTTTCCCCGAAAACTGTGTGCAGGTGAGTCCATGTGCCATTGTTGGGAAAAAAAACAAAACAACAAAAAAACTACTTTTAGATTGGTGCTGGTGTAAGTAGCCACTTTTCTCTCTTGGGTGTGTATTTTAAAGTTTTGTGTTTGTTTTTTTTTAATTAATGCCAAAAAGAAAAAGCATCATAATTTGTAAACTTAATCATATGTCTTGTATCTTATTAGTTTAATAGTTGGAACCGCTCAGTCTTTAGGTGCAAGACTGTTGTTAGATAGAACCAAGAAAAAAAAATGTTGTCTGTGTTATGAGACTGTACATTTTTTTAATAGCAATAAAGAGAAGAATTCATTGGGTGTACATATGTGCTTTTATGAATTATTGAAACATCGGACTTCTTTGCACTTGTTCAATAAATCAGAAATATATATATATATATATAGTTTTAAACTTGTACATACGGGACCTGGAAGGCTACCCTATGCCACCTCTTTCTATACTTGGTTTATGTATTAGCGATACAGTTTCACGTCACATATGGTAGAGCTACTACTAGGGAAATTACTCAACTAGAGTCTAGAAAAGAATCTCTAGTCTCCAGAATCAAAACCTTTTAATTTTTAAGCATTTCTTTTTTAAAAATTAACTTTTGATATAGGTCAACATGGGAAGTGTCACCCATACAGATTAAGAAATATGTTTTATGTATATCCTCGGAAAATTGACAGTGTTCCCATTGTCCTACATCACTTTGGCTGCCTAGCCGCCCTCAACCCGATTTAAAGTCAGGTTGAAAACAAAGTGTCCCAGTGGCTGGTGCACTCCCGACACGCAGCAGCACTAATTCTTCTGACCTTTGGGAGGGATGGACTCAAAGTCTTATAACTGCTGATCACCTCGTTTTTTTATCCAGTCCCTAGATAAATGCATCCAATGTTCCCTGAAGCTGACATTCAGATGGGAGAGACTCTCCTATGTGCTAGAAAATGCTCTATCCCTTCCCACAAAAATAACTGAATCACGGCCTGCAGTGTTTCACATTTGCATGTGGAGCTACGTCCAAAACCCCAGGCTCTCAGCTGCCCTTGATGTATTGATAGAAAAAGAAGGAGGAACAACGTGGACTTTCAGATCATTTTACCGACTCTAATGTCTTCAGCTTCCCTGAAAAACTCATCACTTATAAAGACCACCGGTGGGGCAGGGTGGTTAGGTTACATGATCTGTCCTGAACTTTGCCTCTTTTCCATAACTTAACGTGGATTTCTGTGAGACAAAAGGATCGTCTCTATAAAACTACTGTAGTTTAGACACGACAGGGATACATTCCAAGAAATGGATGGCCCTGGCAGGTGATCTCACCACTGTGAACATCACAGCCTGTGCTCACTCAGACCTGGGTGGTGTGGCCACGGCGCACCTGGGCTGCGCCTGGGCCACCACCCACACAGCATGACCCTGTACTGAGTGCTGCAGGCCACTGTAACACCATGACCAGTATTTGTGTATCTAGACATACCTAAATAGAGAAAAGATGGAGTGAAAGTACCATAAAAGAGACAAAAACTGCTATACCCCATAGGGCACTTGCCATGAATGGAGGCTGAAGGACTAGAAGTAGCGCTGGGTGAGTCAGCAGGGTGTGGTGAGTGACGGGGAAGCCTGGACGGTGCTTTCAACCTTTCCACACTGAACCTATCATTAAACTTCCACAGCATACTAAAATTATGTTGTTTCAAAAAAATAAAAAAGAAGAATATATTTACTATGTTTTAAACTTCTTCAGAAATAGTTTAATTAATGATCTTAAAAATACCTAAGATCCTCTCACTGCACAGTGGTTGAAAAATCACTGGCCTAGTATGTTACTGTGCATTTCTGTAGATGTGATGAGGCTTGTACATTTAACACTTCACTGAATTTATCTTAAAATGTAATGAGCTAACTTTGGCTTACTGTAACTTCTTTACAAACTTTTTGGGTTAACTTTTGATTTTGTAATAATACTTAGCTTAAACATAGTGTACAGCTATACAAAGATATTTTCTTTATATCATTCTATATGCTTTTTTTATTTTTAGAATTTAATTTTTTTTTTACTTTTAAAACTTTTCTGTTAAAAACCAACACACATCACACATTAGCCTAGGCCTATGCAGAGTCGAGGTCATCAATATCACCATCTTACACACCCACATCTGTCCCACCAGAAGGACTGTGGGGACAGTAACCAGGAACAAGCATGGAGCTGTCATCTCCTATGATAGCAATCTCCTTCTGGAAGACCTGCCTGAAGCTGTTTCACAGCTGATTTTTTTTAAGAGACAGAGTTGAAGTAAGATCACAGCTCACTGCAGCCTCGCCTGGGCTCAAGTGATCTCCTCCCATTTCAGCCTCCCAAGTGGCTAGAATTATGGGTATGTGCCACCATGCCCAGCTGAGAGTTTTATTTTTTGTGGAGACAGGGTCTCACTGCATCGTCCAGGCTGGTCTCAAACCTCTGGCCTCAAATGATCTTTCTTCCTCGGCCTCTCAAATTGCTGGGATTATAGGTATAAGCCACCACATCCAACCAACTTCGTGTTAATAAGTAAAAGAAGTGAAATCTAAAATGTTAATAAAAGTATAGTGTTATAAATACATAACCAGGAGCATAGTCATTACAAGTGTATGTACTGTGTGGAAGTACATGTGCTATATATTTGCATATGACTGGCAGAGCAGCAGGTCTGCTTACACCAGAATCTCCACAAATACGTGAGGGATGGGTTACACTGTGTCCTTATGACACCGAGGTTGTAAATGACCAGCACTTTTCAGTTCCGTTATAATTGTACGGGACCATGGTATTTGTGGTTCATGGTTCACCAAAGCATCATTAAGTGGTACATGACTGTTCAAAAGGCTGAGGTCTGGAAGGAGGACTTTCTGTGAGATGTTTTTAAATAACATCAGCTGTTTCCTATCAAGTGGAAACCTAAATTAAGAACTCCTGAGGCTTAACAGCTACTTGATAGCATTTAGTTCCATAAACGCCAGCTTCGAGAACCACTGGGCCGTATGTGAGAGATTTAAAGTCAAGAGTCTAGAGCAGCGGTTCTTAACTTCCCTAATGCTGCAATGTATTTTCATTGTTAAAAAGGGGTCGCGACCCACAGGTTGAGAACTGCTGGTCTAGAGCTTCTCATGTAGGGTCATTCATAAGCCATGGCTACTAAATTTCACGCTTGTTTTCTGTGTGGTCCATATATTATTTTACATCTCTATATTCCCACTGCTCCTGCTAACATGACCTCTACCGAAGTCTAAAGACCTATTGAGTCTGGCTGGGCGGGTGGCTCACCCCTGTAATCCTAGCACTGTGGTCGGCCAAGGTGGGTGGATTGCTTGAGCTTATGAGTTTGAGACCAGCCTGAGGAAGAGTGAGAATATCCCCCACCCCCACTCAAAAAACAACCAGGTATTGTGGTGGGCACTTGTAGTCTCAGCTACTCGGGAGGCTGAGGCAAGATAGTCACTTGAGCCCTGGAGTTTGAGGTTGCTGTGACCTATGACACCATGACACTACCAAGGGTGACAAAGTGAGACTGCCTCAAGAAAAATAAAAAACCTATTGAGTCCATAATTAAGAAATGGCTAGAAATCTATGAATTCTTTATCCTGAAGAAAGTTTGGGATCCTTGCAGTAAAAAGTTCTTGTTCACAGGATTTAGTATTTTCCATCACAAATATCAATCAGAATTACTTTTCAGTCAGCTCATGGGGAAAAGATCAGATCTGCCCTTTAGTCTTTTTCCCGGACACACTTTCATCTACTGCAGTCAACCCTGTGTTTCTACTGTACCAAACAACAACAGAGTTCAGGAATGCACACCAGGGTTTCAGACCAAAGAGATCCTTATTTTTATCAAACCTTGATGGGTCCCACCACCATGGGAAAAAGAAAGTTTTCTAAGTATGAATTTTTTCATGTCCTTTGAATAAAGCATTTGTTTTCTCCGCTTTTCTGATTTCTTTCTCTGGGAGGAGGACGTAAGGCAACAGTTCTCCAGTACTGAACTTGAGCACCATGCTCTCGTTTCATTTATACCCATTATGGTCATGTGAGATTTCTGTGGCAAAAGAATATGTAATCCCTCATGTGAAAGCATTTCTTGTTAACATCCTCACCCCGCCCTCCAGTGTTGATAAACTTGCCTGAGTCTGATCAGATTGGGGGCCACCTTGACTCTTCTGGCAGCGACGGGGGCCCTGGAGAGGTGGTGACTGTGATGCTGAGCAATGACCCAGGAGGACAGACCCAGGAGAGGGAGGAGTGACTGTAGACCCAGGAGGACAGAGCCAGGAGAGGG